ACCCAACACAAGCCAAACACTTCTGATAGACAGAATGTTGAGGGAAAAGGGCTTCACTTTGAGCACCGTGTTTTCTACCGCAATATGAGACACTAAAGTTGTATATAGGTAGATATAATACTAGTCTACAGATGTAAAGTATGTGTAGTAATTATAGAAGTGCTTTGACAGTTATTAACACGTGTCGTGTCAGTCCTATGACATTCGCGAATATCGACTTCCAGAAAACATCCTGTGTTGGTTTAACATGAATTAGTAAAGGTTAATTAGGGATGCCAAACACGTTAATTATTGAAAGAAGAGTAGTCAAAACACTGTCATTTCTTGCCCAGGACATCACACCCCTACACCCTAAGGTCGGTGAGACACAGTCAAGGCACTCTGACTTTTCTATGAGGACCTTTCTATGAGGACTCTCGGTATGTAGTCATAATTATCAGTTTATAACATTGCTGAAGATTCATTTTGATTCAAACTCTATTAAATGAGCAAAACTATACTCTGGACAATTGAAATCTGCCTAGATAAGAACGTTTCGTTTTATTGTTCTGCAATCCATTTTTAGTATTACCCGCTGACCCGGCCCGGCCGACTTTTCTTGGCCCGACTTTTAAGCAATCCCGACAAATGAAACTTGAAATTTGTGAAACTTGAAATGGATATGAACTGTGTAATGTCCAAATTGTAATACGTAATGCAAATGTAATGTTGTGTCATATAAAGTGAAATGTATTACATAGATGGAGACATGTAATGTTTGAACCACCGCACCACCGAAGGCCCAAGGACTAACACTCATTTGAAGGACTGGCATGGGTGTATCAGGAAGATCATCGTCAAGGCTCATCCCAACCTTAACGAGATGATCCGATTTCTGACATCCGAACAGAAGACAAATTAGATAAGGATGCTGCAGTATGCTGCAGGACAGAGTCAGCCTCCAAAGAAGAAGAAATACGCAGATCTGCAGAGTCGAATCGGGGATCTGAAGTTCCAACTGACCAGGGGGCATATCTCTGTCCAAGAATATGCTGATGCGGGATTATTTGCATTGAAATTAGTGTAGAGAAATTGAAAGAATTCTACAGTTTCTTAAGTGTAATTATCCATTATTTCTGTTATTAACAATGCATTTTAAATAATTCTTTATTTGTACACCCGCCAGTATCTCTATGACATGTTAACCCACTCTTGTATAGCCGATGTCATTAAACAAAATATTACATGTTCTCTGACGTTATTGTGGAAAAAATATATGCTTAATTCATGATTAATCTCTGTGCCACTTCTTATTTTTAATTTACCCCATCGTTTGTAACAAAACATTGGTCAATGTAACACTGGTCATTTGTTTTTACACCCCTCGCCAGGTCTGCTTTACGGGAATGAACCGTAACCACAACTATTTGGACCTACCTTTATTGTTGTTTTCCACAGCTAGTCGGCGTACATCTGCGTGCACCTACCTTCAGTAGGTTTTGCAAAAACTATCTGGTGTATATATACGTTGACGTACATACATGTATAGTGTTGTTTACCTCAACTGGTTCACGTATACTATAAACATGGGGAAAATGAACAACGTTAGACAAATATTTTATCACATAAAATTCCAGAATTTGAATTAGAATTAGAAATTGTGAAATAAGGGAATATTACAACTAACGACCATGTTCCATTATCTTTAGACTGCCAAGGGTCAACCCGATAACGCATATCGGACAGGACCCTCATCTCTCATGGTGCTGGTCAGATAGAGGTAGGCAAACAAATATAAGACGTTACTATCTTTATCATCCATCCTTATCAAATCACCCGTACCACGTATACAATCGTTGCATACCAGCAACTATTGTTCTAACTAAACTTTGCTCTCACCTTTGTTACCAAAGCCTCGGTCAAACTAAATTACATAATTCAGTCTGGCGCCACTAAAGTTCGCAATAATAATTTTATCGTCAGTTTAATCAGTCAATGAGGTTATGTGCAGTATCTAGAATAGGTATAAATACGGACGACAGACAGTCACAAATCATTCTGTGGCTGTCTAATAAACGGACTTAAACTGTTAATTTACTCAGGTAAGAAACCTTACTATCTGGTACTATGTTAATTCTTGACTATATGCTTTTACCCTTGGCAATACCTGCAGGTTTAATTGGTAACTGAAAATGTAATTCTTGAGTGTATATCTTTGATATTCCCACATACTACTTCTGTGTATAGATTATGCCAATTCTGTTAACTGTATTACGTTAGATACCTTTTGAAATATGTATAACTAGTTGGTATATGGCTACGTGCACCTACGTATACTGTTGTTCGCAATATCTATATGGATTATATCTACATGGACGTACCAGTAGTATTGTCTACCATAACTAGTTCACGTATATATACGTGGGCGTACCAGAAGTATTGTCTGCCATAACTAGTTCACGTAAAGAATATGTGGGCGTACCAGTAGTATTGTCTGCCATAACTAGTTCACGTAAAAATATGTGGGCGTACCAGTAGTATTGTCTACCATAACTAGTTCACGTATATATACGTGGGCGTACCAGAAGTATTGTCTACCATAACTAGTTCACGTATATATACGTGGGCGTACCAGTAGTATTGTCTACGAAAACTAGTTTACGTATATATATGTGGACGTACCAGTGGTATTGTCTACCAAAACTAGTTCACGAAAAAATATGTGGGCGTACCAGTAGTATTGTCTACCAAAACTAGTTCACGTATATATACGTGGGCGTACAGGTAGTATTGTCTACCATAACCAGTTCACGTATATATACGTGGGCGTACCAGTAGTATTGTCTACGAAAACTAGTTTACGTATATATATGTGGACGTACCAGTGGTATTGTCTACCAAAACTAGTTCACGAAAAAATGTGGGCGTACCAGTAGTATTGTCTACCAAAACTACTTCACGTATATATACGTGGGCGTACAGGTAGTATTGTCTACCATAACTAGTTCACGTATATATACGTGGGCGAACCAGTAGTATTGTCTACGAAAACTAGTTCACGTATATAAATGTTGACGTACCAGTAGTATTGTCTACCAAAACTAGTTCACGTATATATATGTGGGCGTACCAGTAGTATTGTCTACCAAAACTAGTTCACGTATATATACGTGGGCGTACAGGTAGTATTGTCTACCATAACTAGTTCACGTATATATACGTGGGCGTACCAGTAGTATTGTCTACGAAAACTAGTTCACGTATATAAATGTTGACGTACCAGTGGTATTGTCTACCAAAACCAATTCAGGTATATATATGTGGGCGTACCAGTAGAATTGTCTACCATTACTAGTTCACGTAAAAATATGTGGGCGTACCAGTAGTATTGTCTACCATAACTAGTTCACGTATATATACGTGGGCGTACGAGTAGTATTGTCCATAACTAATTCACATATATATGGTATATACGTTGTATATATCTACATCTCGTACCTATAGTGTTGTTTATCACATATGTCAACTAGTTGGTATACATCTACGTGAACATCTATTTGTTTTGTTAACTACAAGAACATGGCGTATGTCTATGTGGACATAACTCTTTTTCGTGTTTTCCACAACTTGTTATGTTTATCTACATGCACGTAAGACTGGTGATTGGTTGATTGGCATTTGAGCGTTTGATTGTTGGATCTGCCTACGGAGATCTAATCAAGCAATAGACTAGTTTGATTTGAATCCAGTTAGGTTGTCACAACTGTTAAATCCTTTAATCATTATCCTTACTGTACATCTTGCTTCCTTACCTGTGTGCTATTTGTTATTCTTTCTGTACATTTTCATATATACCTCTCATCGATCACTTGTTTTTTGTCACTCCAACTTGATAACTGTGCAATGTCGCCATACACAATAACCCAGGTGTTGTTATTCATACAGTTGTTCGTTTTCTTGCTTAAATACCTGTGATGTCTACCACAACTATTTGGTGTTTGTCTACGTGGACCTACCTTTAGTGTTGTTCGCCACAACGAGTAGACGTATACCTACGTTCACGTACCTTTAGTTGTGTTTGCTAGTAGTTTGCGTACATGTACATGTAGATGACTCTTAATTTGGCGTCGTTTACCACAAGAAGTTGACTAGAACGTATCTATAATGATTATACATGACCACAAGTGGTTGGTGTATATCTAGGTGAACATACTATAAATGTAGTTCAATGTTGGCTTATACCTACGAGAACGTACCTATAGTGTGGCGTACACAGTCACTGAAATGCCCCACAGATATTGCTCTCCACAAAAAAGGTAGCGTCTTCTACAGAGAGCCTCAAACAAAAATAGCAAATTTGCCATACTTTGGCTAGTCTAAATGTTTTTATTTCAGAGACTAAATGTTGGTCTAAAAAGATAATATTGCTAAACGCTTCACAGGCAAACGGAAGCTATTCGCGGCTATTTCCATATATCTTCACATATCTTAAAGTGAACAATATAATGCAATATGACAGAAATGTTTTTAAAACATCCATTTACTTCTTACAATCCCAAATAAAATGGTCATGAACTCACAAGAGTCATAGCGGTTGAAGTCGGCATCTTTGAAAAACAACACCAATCTCTAAATATATAACTGAGTGCTTAATATTAAGTGGGTACAATCACTTTTTAATGCAATCCAAAACTGTTGGTTTTATCATAACCCTATTAAAAATCAGATGTTGTTTTACCGCGCCCTTGTTAACAAGTCGGAACTTGTTAGTGTTCGCTTATCTACATGCCTCTAAACCTTAATGTGAAGTTATTAACTGATCCAGAAAATGGATTAGAAAGCACCACAGTGCAATACCCTGCCCCTTTAAGTATTTCAGTCACAAGGGCGGTAAGAAGGACGAACGTTTATACCCGTGGGGCTTCAATGCACAATCACAATCCGAAATCAGAATAGAGACCCATTTCATTGGTCTTTAGGGCGATTACTCTGCTTAAAGACAGTGCTAGTGTGGCGGTGCATTGATCCGCGCACGAAGCTGTTTCAATCGTTCTGCCCTTACAGTTTCACGTCTGTCGTCTGCTCTCTTACAAGTGGCGCTAAAATGAGCAATGTGGACGGTTGTGGTCACGTCAGTGACTATGTCTAAATCGATAAGGTCCCAAATTCCGATAATAAGTCATTGACAACTACTGTTGGCGAGCCAGGGTGTGATTCAACGTGTCACGCCACTTACATTGCTGTCCTCACCACAAACTAGGTTCTCGGCAGAAAACCAGCAGAGTAAAGTGGTTGTGCGCACAGCACGCCTGCTGTCACTCATTTCTCGTGCGCTACTGAGGCATAAGCCAGTCTTCACTCGGACGTTAGTGGTCCTTCGTGGAACTTCAGATGCAAGTTACAGGCTGCCATGTATGATGCTTTGGGATTCTTGGAAGGAATTTTCTAAGTCAGATGGTTTTTTTTGGATACCATGATATCATTTGACATCGCAATAGTTAACTTGTAAATTATCACTACCACAACTACACGTCGGTGTACCTCAAGCAACCATGGATTACAAGAAACAATCTCCTGATTGTTACTGCTTTTAACCAGCCTGGAGCACGGACTTTTTCGCTGTGTCAACGCCTTGTCAGTAAGTCAGCACTACCATCGTTTTACAGTGGTCTCTTGTTCCATTGGGTACCTACAATACTGAAATGTCTGGTAACTGGTCGCCAACACATGCCAACTTGTCCCATAGTCTCATTACGAAATATAACTTAACTGAAAAAGTTTTGATTGGAACGTTTTTGTGCATATTGATTGTTGTAGCAATTGGTGGAAACATGTTAGTGTGTGCAGCAGTGTTTACAGACAGAAAGCTGAAAAGAAATAGTAACTTTTTCATTGTGTCTCTTGCAATCGCTGATTTGCTTGTTGCCATCAGTGTAATGACATTTGCTGTGGCTAATGATATCCAAGGAACATGGGCTTTCGGCATTGAATTTTGCAATATATGGATATCTGCTGACATAATGTGCTCAACGGCATCTATTCTGAATTTATGTGTTATAAGTTTGGACCGCTATATTCATATCAAGGACCCATTACGCTATGAAGCGTGGATGACAGGGAAAAAGACAGTGTGTTTTATTGCTACAGTGTGGATTCTGTCATTGCTAATTTCCTTCGTTCCAATTCACATGGGATGGCATTTTAGTTCCGGAAATCATCAACAAGATTCTTTAGCATCTGAAAGCTGCATATTTGAATTGAATCCCATCTATGCTGTTGTGTCATCAACAATAAGTTTCTACATTCCATGTATTGTGATGCTTTCAATATATTGTCGTTTGTACATGTATGCCAAAAGGCATGCAGACATAATTCGAAGAACTCACACAGCCGAGAGGTTTCAGACCCCCCAGCAGGCGAGTGACGCCGCTGGCAAACAAGGAGGTAGTTACAGGTTATCGGACCACAAAGCAGCCGTCACTCTAGGCATCATCATGGGAGTATTTCTACTCTGTTGGTTTCCATTCTTTGTAATGAATCCCATTGCCGCATTTTGTCCGACGTGCATACCTGATGTTGTGTTCAAAATACTTACCTGGTTAGGTTATGTCAATTCATGTTTAAATCCTATTATATATAGCATATTTAATCAAGAATTTAGAGAAGCTTTCAGAAAGATTTTGTTTCCAAAATGCTTGCTGGAATATCGGAGTAAATCCAACCTGAATCAACGCCAAAGTAGGAAAGTAAGGAAATCGGAGTATGCACCGCCACTGGTTGAAAACGGTACACAGCAGCCTGGTTACACAAGGAAAAACAGCAGAGAACATTTGTTTTCAGACAAAATTACTGCCCTGTGATTCTACATTCCTTAAGTGGGTGTATACTCGTTTCTATTGTATATCACCATTGTACTCCAAGAATATATGCAAGTATCTCCTCGGACTTATTATTTCATTTCATATAAAAGCAATTTTATTTTTCTTATTACTGTTTTTCATGCGTTATTCGATTTACAGACTATCAAAATATTAAAACAATGTTTTAATAAGTATTTTCTTACTACTTTCCCATAAAAAAAGACTTCACCTTTATTAAGAGGCACTGCGTTATAATTTTGCTTGCCATATTCAGGCTGAGAAGCCAGGAATTCCCCTGTTAACAAAGGATACAGCAATGTAAGTTTGCATACAGTTACGGTGATTGTCGGCTTCAGTCAACATGGAAGTACTATATGTATATTTTGTCTTCTGAAATTGACGGTAGTTTAAGACAACATCCAAACAAATCAAAGTTCGAAAATGACCTGGATTTAATCAAACCGCGATAGTATTACGCTACGGGGGTTATTTTATGGTTTCTGATAGATCCATAAATTGCTTTGTGCTATCTTACATCTGTACAGCTCAGGAAGTCATTGTGTACTTCTTTCGAAGACGGGTCTCATATTATAAAGAAACAAACAAATCAAAACCAAATGGTTTGTTATAGAATTGGAAATATATAGGACTGCAAAGGCATTTTCTTATCCCTTATGATCGGTAGGTTGAAATTGAAATGCTCGTTGTGTTTGTTTGAATGACCAGTGGAAGAGTTATTTCCCTTCCCATATAAATCTGCCTCGAACGATTTTTATTACTGTCATGATTAACAAACTCGGTGAGACTATAGCAATTGTAATATTTAACACATTGATCAATTACTTAATGTTAATGAACAACGTCGTATGATCATCATTCAACTCGAGTTGGTATAAACAAAAAAAACAAATAAATAACAAACAATAAACACTGACTTTAAATCACGAAGTGAATTACACTGACATTACAATGAACACTGTAGGTCCCACCACTACCACCACACACCGATGTGTACACATTCCACTTTACCATTCGTAGAAGGATCACTTCAAGACATTTTTCAAGCAATTTTGTTTTCATTTCATTTTTAACGTTTCTTCACGCATTATATCAACATGACATCGATGGATGGAGGGGGAATCTTCTAAGAGTATTCCAGTCATATCATATATTTTTTTGGGAGGAAAGCCCGAAGTGGTGGAGGTCTTACATTAGGCAAACGATTGGCTCACAGTACCCCCATGCATTTTGCAAAAGTCAACTAACACGATTTGAGGGAGGTTAAAACGATTGTCTTGGCTTATTTTGTATCATGGCAACCCAACGAGATCCTCAGCATCCGATGCTAAGTAGTTCGAGGCTTATTCACGACAAAGCAAAGAGACATATGCATGGAAAGATATACGTTGAATAGCCGATGGCATATGTTGATAACCCCTGCATATGTCTGGCAATACATGGACAATGACATGTATTGAACACTCCCTACATCTGTCAATAACCTTAATCGCAGAATGCCAACATTCATCTGACAATACATGAACACTCCCTACATTCATCTGACAATACATGAACACTCCCTACATTCATCTGACAATACATGATCACTCCCTACATTCATCTGACAATACATGATCACTCCCTACATTCATCAGACAATACATGGACAGTCTCCACATTCATCTGACAATACATGGACAGTCTCAACATTCATCTGACAATACATGAACACTCCCTACATTCATCTGACAATACATGACCAACCTCCACATTCATCTGATAATACATGATCACTCCCCACATTCAACTGACAATACATGGACAGTCTCCACATTCATCCGACAATACGTGGACAATCCCTACATTCAACTGACAATACATGGACAGTCTCATCATTCAGCTGACAATAAATGGACAGTCTCATCATTCATCTGACAATAGATGGACAGTCCAATCATTCATCTGGCAATACATGGACAGTCTCATCATTCATCTGACAATACATGGACAGTCTCATTGTTCATCTGACAATACATGGATAGTCTCCACATTCATCTGACAATGCATGAACACTCCCTACTTAAAACACTGACAATTCATGGACAGTCTCCACATTCATCTGACAATAGATGGACAGTCTCCACATTCATCCGACAATACCTGGACAATCCCTACATTCATCTGACAATACATGAACAATCCCTACATTCATCTGACAATAGATGGACAGTCCCATCATTCATCTGACAATAGATGGACAGTCCCATCATTCATCTGGCAATACATGGACAGTCTCATCATTCATCTGACAATAGATGGACAGTCTCACCATTCATCTGACAATAGATGGACAGTCCCATCATTCATCTGGCAATACATGGACAGTCTCATCATTCATCTGACAATAGATGGACAGTCTCACCATTCATCTGACAATATATGGACAGCCTCATCATTCATCTGATAATACAGGGACAGTCTCAGCACTCATCTGACAATACATGGACAGTCTCATCATTCATCTGACAATACATGAACAATCTCTACATTCACCTTTATATACATGAACAATCACTGCATTCATTTGGCAATACACTTTATTAAGCACCCGCTACATTCATCTGACAATACCAGAACAATGTCTACATTCACCTGAAAATACATGAACAACCTCTACTTTCATCTGATAATACTTGAACAAATTCTACATTCGAATGACAATACATAAACAATCCCTACATTCATCTGTCAATACATGAACAATGCCTATGTTCATCTAGCAATTGTAATTATCAGTTTATAAGGATATAAGCAAACTAACAAGAATTTTCCATTGCGCGAACACATATTTCGTAGACATTTCAAAGAATTTCTCTCCGAAATATGAATTTTATTGCCCCCTTCACCAAAATACGGAAGGCCCTATGCCCATCAAGGGGTACACTGGAATAATTAAGTCAAGTCACCAAAATACTACATTTTAATGCTGTTTTCGATCGTTTTGGCACAGTCCATGTTTGTGACGTCTCACAATACAAAACACTCGCGAAGGATACACGGGTAGGAGAAATGTTCACATAAAGGTCGACGTAACAATTGACTTGCGGTATCAGTTCGTGTTAATATTGTTTACTATTTCATTGTATGAACATCTTGGTATTAGGACGGGATCACAATAAGAATAAAAGAGAACTGTTGATGGTGTGCATCGAAAGACACAACAGTTGATCAGATGTACAATATATATTGTTACGAGTCGATTCCCAAATTGAAATAATATGTTAACCCAGAAATCTGTACGTAAAACAATTAAGTGTGAAACCAACAAACAACCAACAAATGTCTTACGAAATCAACCGGGTTTACAAATCAATACAAATCATTGCACAGCAATTACAATGGCAGTACACAATAGAGTGGTAGTACAATATTCAATGGCAGTATTAAATGTGAGAGCAGTGGAAATGACAATGACAAGAATAATAATCACCTCGCAGCAAGAGTCGTCAGGCTTCCGAGATAGGCCCAGGATGATCTCCAGGGTGAAAAGTGATCTTCATGTAATGTAAGATGAAATTTGAGTTCACAGGTACGCGCCCGCTCCACTTATATAATCTAACTAGCTTCCAGCATTTTCCACACAGTCCAGTGTCACTAAAACATCACAGAATGGTCCACATGTTTGTATAATGCTTGACATCAATCTATTCCGGAAGTTTAAAGACATTTCGAGCATCTACATATAATAACTTCCTCACTACTGCTTACATTCAATGGTACTACTTTCCTGACAACTAATCATTGTCCAAACACAATGCAATGAACTTCTACTGAATCTAAGCAGAAACAATGTAATACATTTTTAATCATTGTTTAACTAACTCTGCCAAATAACAATTTAGATATTTAATACTAAGCATACCAATGTCAGCTGTGATATTTATGTGTACATCAATTATTTCCGGTTACGCGGGGAGAATCTGAAGTAACATACAGTGAAATAAGGGCGTATATTGCTATTCTAGTTCTAGCATAAATAATTTTGGTGTGTGAACTTTTTTTCCACTTTACCTTCACTATAAACTAACACGTTTGCCTTTATGTACTTAACGTCATAATTGAAGGGTAAGCCAGGTATGGAGAGTGTCAAACACGAACATATGCCAACAAGCGTCAATTATAGTTTGATAATGTGATTAACAGTTTACATGCTGTTATAACCCTTTTCAAAATATATAGGTTCGTATAAACTAGTATCCAACTGTGGTCGCAACTTCACAAGACAATATGACGACTGTCTGAGTGAGTATAATAACACATGTGATGATGAAAGTATCTTCTGCGTAGATACAAGTATCACCTACGTAGATGTAAGTATCATCAACTTGGATGAAAGTATTTTTCAGACCGTGGCACTAATTCGCTTCCACAGAAAGGTCAAAGACTGAAGGTGATGGAAAAAGTTGGCCAGAACATGCCTGCAATACATGACAAGTAACAGGTAATGTGGGTATAAAATGGTTCATTCCAGATGTAACTGAACTGCACTTCTGGAAGTTGAAAATGCGATGTTTCTAAAATACTTTTATCTCGTATTATCTGCGTAACCCCCCCCCCCCCCCCCCCCCCCCCAAATAACATATATAGTGTTTGTTTGGATAAATATTCTTTTATTTATGAATTCTAGAAATTATGCATGTGCAAACTAACCATGTTTTACAAAATGCAAATTTCTTTACTGTTTGTTAAATGTTCGTTGTCTTTGTGGTTTACACTAGGTTCAGGCTCTGTTTAAATGGGTGGTTGTATGACATCATAACCTGACAGGGTAATATCAGTCACTGGTTTGTCTGGTCCAGACTCGAATATTTACGGTCCGACGTAATGTAGCTAGAATATTCCTCAGTGCGGCGTTGATTAACAAGCAAACAAAACATTGTACATCAATTAAGAATGTTTTTTTATGTTTAGTGTTTTGTGGAGAAAAGCTATAACATATAAGGTTACTATCAAACTGTAAATTACCAAGTACAATTGCATGTAATTAAAGCATAAGTTTAAAGGAATAATTTCGTTTAATCTTATCATGAACGTTTGATTTGTCGCTTGTTTTGATTGTTATTATCAGGAATATTGGAGATATATGGAAAAC